AGTTGAGATGCTTATGTAGAAGATCATTTTAATTATTTTTCAAATATTTTTTTTATTCTACAATTGGAATATAATTTATTTTATTTTTCTTTATGATTCGCGAGATTCCGTCTATTCAACCCATTCAGCCAGAATTTAATCTATTTCACCAAAATAAGCTAATTCAACTCATTTTAGTATTATCAAACGGATTCTATATTTAGACTGAGTTTATTTTGTTTTTGCATCACCTTATACGTAGTATATGATTTTGAAAAAATCAAATTTAAAATTAGCTAAATAAACTTAGTCTAAAATTAGCTAGATTATGTACTGCCTGTGCATCGCACGGGCTTGAAAACTAGTTTCGCAAAAAAAAAATTGGAAGTCTACGGATGTCTTTTGCTGGAACAGTTTTCAATAGGTGTGGGATCGGGTCGGGTTGGGTCGGGTTTTGGCTAGGACCGTAAAAAACCCAAAAACATCGGGTTCTACATTTTTGGGCCCGACCGGAGGACCAATACTTTCGGGTTGGTCCGGGTTTTAAGAGCCTTGGGTTCGGGTTGGGTTTAACCCGAAAAAAATCGAACTGAAATATCTAAAAACAATTGAAATACAATCACAACAAAAATTGCAAATATCTAAACTTTTAATCAAAAGATATACGTAGTATTTAAAACCAAAGCACTATATTTTGAATCTAAAAATCACACGATACAAAAATGTTGTAGAAGAACAATTGGTTCGAAAGCAAAATAATATTTCCCTCCATCCCAAATTTATTTACAAAGTCAAGATTTTTTGGTCAACCAATGTTAAAGTTAAATCCTCCATATTGATACTTGATTCAATTTTAATTTGAATAATTAAAATTTACATATTCAAAACTACATTAAAATCTCTTCAAAGTTGCAAACTCCAAATTAAATATAATTAAAAATTGACATCCAAATTAAGTGAATAAAATGAAATTGTTTGACTAAAAAATCAATTTTGCGAATCAATTTGGGACAGATTTAGTATAAAATAGTCCATATGTATCATATAAAAAAATCGGTATGATGTATTAATAAGTCACATGTATCAAATTATATATATTTTTTAGTTTCTTAATTAAATCGGGTTTTTTCGGACCGGGTCGGGCTTAAAATTTTAGAACACAAATTAGGACCCAAGTTTTTGGGTCGGGTATTTTAAACCGGACCGGTCATTTTTAAAACAAAACCTAGACCAATGTCATATATCGAGTTGGGTCGGTTCGATTATCGGGTTTTGAGTTGGTTTTTCCCACCCCTAGGTTGTATTCTTGTAGATATTTTTTGATTCAAGTTGGAGCATATTACCATATCTTAAAGCCCGTTTGGTAGCACGAAAATTGGCTCTTTTGGCTGATTCTGCTGAAATTTATGAAGTTCTGGCTGAAGTGGCTGCATTGGCTGATTCTGCTAATTTAAGAAAAAATTATTTTTAAAATATATTTTATTAACAAAATGAAGAAAAATTATATGTAAAAATAGCTAAAATCGTCATCTATAGTAACTTCAGCCAATACAGCCAGAAAAGTAACTTCAACCTTACTTTTTCTGCTTGTTACATAATTCAGCGCGCGAAAACAAAAGTTACGTGTTTGGTGAAAAAGTTGACTGATAAGCCTGATAAGCTGAAAAACAGTGTTGCCAAACGGTCTCATAGCGTCCGAGTGACCAATGATGAAATTGGAGCCAATACAACTCACTTCTAAAAACATCCACATACATATATGAGCTGTGCTAGGTGTACACAAAATGTGTACACCTTTTTTGTACACTCGTCTGTCCCCCGCAGACGAATTGTCTGTTCACAGACAACTATAACACATACAACTCTATAGAGCTGTCTGTGGACAAACAACTTGTCTACGGGGGACAGACGAGTGTACAAAAAAAGTGTACACATTTCGTGTCCACCACACATTTTTCTTTATATATATTCTCTCCAAATACTATGGCTTTGTGATCTCATTGTGAATTACTATCACTTCATATTCCTAAAAATTGTTAAAATCAATTACTAAAATCTAATATCATCTCCAAATATTCTAACTTTTATACGGAGTATAACTTACACTACACTGCCATATATGTTTTCTAAAATAATCTCGACTCATGTCATTTTAAAAATATCATAAACGGACCAACTTCATCCATAAATGACTCAACATATGGTGATTGATCATTATAATTTTAGATGAACATAAAGACTTTGTTTCCTATATTTTGAAAATATATATTCAAAGAAGTGACTAAAAACACAAATTAATTATACCATTTTTATACGGAGTAATATTATGGGCGTATTTCACATTTAGCGATTAGCGGATTAGGTTAGTGGATTGTTAATACCGAATTCAATCAATGGGTTTGACTAGCGAAATAAGTTTAGGGCTTGCCAGAAGATGTTTAGTAATTTAGTTTTTCTGCCACAATAATTAGTAGATAACACCATATTCAAAACGCTAACAAAAAACTCTCCTATTTGCTGCATTTTCATTACAGCGGTTATGTATAGGGCCGAAAAACTATTTACTAAACGACGTTTTTCAGTTATTGAAAACGCTAAAAGGGTTCAAACCACCATTTTTTGACTGAAACACCATTTTCTAAACACCTCCAACATTTACAAAAACAGTCTACCAAGTTCCAAGGACGACACCACCACTACTAGCTTTGCAAACCCCGTAGGGTCCAAAGTCATTACTGCTATATGCTCTTCATACATAGTATTGTTCTAACAAATAAATACAAGCTTTTACAGTGCACTTTGTATTCATTCATGCACCCCTCCGAACACACACAATGATGACGCCCTTAGTAGATGAGCTAAAAGAAATTTCACCTTGCTAATATGAGTAGTGCAATAAATCTTTAAATCTCTACTCAAGATATTACAATCATTCTCATTTAGACAATCATCCTCACTTTTTTTTTTCTTTTTTTTTTTCCATTAGCATTTTCTTGCTTCTTTAGTTTTATTTATTACTCCGTATGTTCTCTAATTTTCTCTTCTTTTGCGTTTTTCTTCATCGATTTAGGAGCAATGAGAACCATGTTTAACGTAAGAATCGTGAGAACATCACTTTTAACTCAATATGATACACTATAACTTTTGTCATTGCACTTTTTCGTGTAGGCGGAATATATTTTTGAAATTGCCACCGTATTTATTTGATGTTGCCATGCTTTAAACAAAGACTAAAAAGTGCAATATATAACCTGCATAGTGCATCAAATTGGGTTAAAAGTGTCTCATCTCACATTCTCACGATAAAATGTTATCATTAGAAGTTCGCCTTTTATTCATCTTTAGTCTTTATTAATTTTAGATGTTGCCATTCTATATTAATTTTAATAAAACTTGGTAAAAGTTTTTCCATAAAAAAGGTGTATATAACCTTATAATGTGACAACAATTTTAAAAAACATGAATGCCCTTTTATGTATACATAATGCCTTTGATATCATAGAACATTGGATATTAAAGTCCGTTGATCCGGTAGGGATCAACATCACCCTTTGATTCAGGTCTTAATCGCTCAACGCCCTTATCACCAATTGATTTTAAGTTTTAATGACTGTGATATGATTGTGGTTTAACTACAAAATTATGCAATTAAGTAAGATCGCGAGACTGGGGTAAGAAAGCCCAAAAATGGATGATGGGAAGTTTGTCGAAAGAGGTGATCAATCCTACAAAGTCTAAAATATTTTTAATTGTGCCACCGCACCTTTGATGAAAAAATGAGCTAATTTTTCAATTTTAAGCTATGAAAGACTTGGTTTTATCTCGTGTGATAAAATAATTGATACACCATTCTCACAAACTTAACAACTACATGCCTTTATGTTAGGAGCTTATCTCACTCGACTCGACCCGACCTGATCCAATTCACGATTGGTTATGTTTTTCAAAATTTTGGGTGGACTAATTCATTTAGTTCAACAAAGATTGATATCATCAAAGTGATTTATGTAGTTTATAGCCAGATCATATTGAATTCGCTTTGCATGTTTCGATTCGATCTCTGCTTGTCTTCACCTATGCGGTGTTTTTGTTGTTGTTTTTTTTTTTATAAAAAATTTCACCTATGTGGTGTTTATCCTGTGCGATAGTACTTCTTCACTTGTAAGTTGCCGCATGTTTTTTTGCCTTTCTTTTCCTTTTTGAGTTTTGGTTATTCCCCTCCACCTTTTCAATTAAGGAATAGTTTTTAAATAAAGCATGGCTAGATTTTACATTTATTTTTAACAATTTGATTTGATAGTTCATATACTCATATTGTTTATACTAAGAAATTTCATAAAAAAATCTTTCTAAGAAATCTTCCTCCTAACCATTAATGAATACTTGTTGATAACAATTGAAATGTGTGTACTTTGTTGTATATATGCCTGATGAAACTCATAAACAATACTCCTATATAGTTGGTGACTTTACATAATTACATTTCTTCTTTTTTTGTAGTTATTTTTTATACTGATTGCATTATTATAATTAATTAGTTGACCCACTGAAATAAAATGCTATCCTCCCTTACTGAGTAACATTATATTTTTACAAATTATTGATTGTCGCCTTTAGAATGAACTAAATAAAGGACATGTGTCTTAAAAAGAGAAAAAGTAGAGAATGATAGGAAGCATACACATATACACATAAAATTAGAAGAGGGTAAAAATGTGTTTTTCTTAGCCTATTCCTTTCTCATGTATAAATGGAATAGATAAATAAACAAATTTTACTTAAAATGAAATCATTAACGATTAAAGATTGAAGTTGAACACGTAAAATATGAGTACTCTTTGACTTGCAGATAAGCAACTAAAGGACAGAAGAAATTATGATGTGAAGTTTTTTAATCAAAATCTGAAATTGAGTACCAATTAAATTAAAATATAGAACTTTTCAAAAAATAATGCTAATAATAACTAGCCAGTGATATAAACCAAATCTCACTTGATTCTCTATTAATTTGATCTTTTCAGCATTGATCAAGTAATAGAGAGATACCGTCAACGTGTAAAAGAAACTCGTGTCAACATCGAGGATTCTGCGCAGAACATTGAGGTCAGGGTCTAAATTAGATTAGATATTTTATCATACATTTTTTTGAATATGTATTTATCATACAATTATGTGCTCATGTGTGTTTCTTTGTAATATTACTACCTCCGTCCCATATTAAACTTTCAATTGCGGGTTACGAAGTTTGACCAGCGATAAAATTAAATGATCCCTGTGAAAACTCGGATTATTTTTAGAAAATAAAATTTACATATTCAGAAACTACATCAAACCCGCTACAAAGCCTGCAAAAAATAATTCACTTTTTATAAAATTTCGACACATAAAGTAAGAGTTCAAGTGTGATTTAAGTTGACGCTCGAAAAGCGAAATCGAAGTTTATTTAGGGACGGAGGGAGTATTAAATAAGAAATAGATCTAAATAAAAACCAAAATAATGTTAAATTTTAAAGCATGAATACAATGATTTAGACATGAGTAATTACTCACACGGTGATATTAATATACTACGGATCGAGTAGTATGTAATAGGACATTAAGTTTTTTCTATTTAAGGAAATTAAAAGGGTAAGATTATTATTTTGAAATTTCAACATTATATTAAACTCATTGTTAAAAAATTTCCAAAATAAGTTGGTGTAATCATCTCATACGCTACTTTTAGGGCAAATTTTGTATAGCAAATTTTCAATGACCAATTTTTTTTATTAACATAAATTGATTTCATAATCGGCTTAAAAAATAGCTGAACAAGCGTCTTAATGATCAACGGGAATAAGTTGTGCTTTCACTTATGTCCTAATTAAGTATGACGTGATGATTTAACGATTAAGGTGTTAATATCATGAAGGCTACTCAGTCGAAATTAAAGAACCATATCATGAGTATAAAAAGTGGACATATACTACGTATAATATAATATATAATATAATTACTCAAGAGAAAACTTCATGTCAGGCCAGCCTGACGGGCTGCCCCGTCCGGCCGAGCCCGTTTGGGCACCTTCCCGGTTGAATTTTTTGATGATTTTTTTTGAGCATGTTCCTCATCAAGTCTAGTTTGTCCATTCCAAATTTCAGCTCAAAATTCGATCGGGAAGGTCGTCAAATGATTTTTGCAAGTTCACTGGTCCGGAATATGTATTTTCCGGACCAGTTAACTTGCAAAAATCATTTGACGACCTTCCCGATCGAATTTTGAGCTGAAATTTGGTATGGACAAACTAGACTTGATGAGGAACATGCTCAAAAAATTTCATCAAAAAATTCCACCGGAAAGGTGCCCAAACGGGCTCGGCCGGACGGGGCAGCCCGTCAGGCCGGCCTGATGAGAACAGCCCTCATTACTCAAAGTTCCAACATAGGCATGTCGTATATATAATTTATATTCCGTATGTCAAATATATACAGAGTACATCATTATTTCAATTTGTCATCCAGTGATAAAAACCAAGGGGATTTACCTTTGAGTGATGAACAAATAGTGACATATTATAAATCAATCATATTTGGCCTTAATCTCGGTAAGTAGTAATGACGTCCTTACAAACCATATGCCAGGAAAATTACCCTAAATATGACTAAAAACATTTGCATAATCCAAAATGAAACTATCATGTTTTTATTTTCAAAATATGACTAATTACTTTCATGTTTCAGAATTTTCCCATTTTTTCGATTTTCAAATGATAAAAATCTACTCCTAAAGCATTTATAGATCCTTTAAAAAAAACATTTATAGATTTTGACAGTTCGGTCTTTCAATTGTCATCATACATAGTTCCAAATAAAAATCTGAAAGATACCATTGCCAAGGGATATAGCTCAATTGGTACATTGATGATCCACAAAAAGTAAGTCTCGAGTTCGAATTATCCTACAAATGCGATGAGAGTTTACTATATAAAAATGCATAGAGTCTCTGAAAGTACTTGAATAAGAACCGCACACGCTATCGGTCAATCTATGAATAAAATCCAATTTACATTATCCCGGTTAACTGTGTGGCTTGAGTTGAAGAGCCATGAGAGATAATGTCATCTTTTTTTGAAAGATACCATTTTTCCTAGTCTCTAGTTGAAGAGCCATGGTCGGCCATACTTTTCATCGAAAAGGGTATCACAAATGGTCTAAAGCTATCTCAGCTGTAAATTTTTTAATGACATTACCTTTTGAGTCGTAACTTTTGACATATAATGAGAAATATATGACCTACAATATACGAAATCAGAACTACTTCATCCAGCTACATGGATGAAAGAATCTCACAGTGGTAAATTACCATCTCGACCACCACCCCTTTTGCACCTTCCTTGCTTATAGAATCCTTCCAGCCCTCCTGTTGTACTTGTAGGTGTTACTGTGTTAGTAATACTATACATTGAATGTTTACCATATTCATGTCTAAACTTTTGAAGAAAGTCTCATCTTTTGGGTACGCATTTGGCTAAGCTAGTCATCATAATATGTTATTTGAATCTGGTCTAATTGTAATTTGTTAGTTTGTTTGGCACCTCCTGATCTGTTGAAACTAGATCATTTAGTGGCGATTTAGCTCATTAATTCATTTTAAAATTGTTCAGTCCAATTTCGGTTGAGGGAACATGTTAAATATTTGATATCACATATTAATAGATGTTTTCAGATAAGGGTAAGAAAAACTAGCTCTTATCTTCAAAGCTTTTTTGAGTAATAGCCTTACTGTTTATGTAGAAAGGGCATAATTGCACAAATGGGACTTTTTCACCAACCAATGAAATAATGAACATGTATTTATTATATTGTTCTAATGTACTCTAGTTCAACAGTAGTTGGTTGTACTTACTACTCAACAATGTATCCTCCTCAATAATTCATAAATATTATTCAATAAAGACAACTTTCAGTATATGTTAACATCTGTGATTCAATTTTGAAAAGTCAATCTGATAAAAGTAGTCGACTAGTAGCTTATAATCTTATGTAATGTTTTATTGTCTAATACCATTGCGGTGTGCCATTGTGGGACAAATGTTTCAACATGCCCCCTCAGCCAAAATCAGACAGGACAATATTGGGGTGTAAAGCTAAGTGAGCCAAATAAACTCTAACAATCTACCCTTGATCGTGAGTGCTTAACAATAATCCAACCACAACCAAAGTTGACTCTAATATCTTGTTTGACTCTAATTTCATGTTAAGAGTCGGGGTTCCTCTAATAGGAGGAATAGTGCATGATCTTATATAGAACACCATTCCGGTGTGGGATAAATGTTTCAACAATATACCAATCTAATACTTCATCTGTTCCCTTTTAATTGCAACAGTCAACATTTCACGTTTGTCAACGCACGAGTTTGACCATTAATATCTTTCAATCCTTATTAATAAAAAATTTAAAAAATTCATACTTTGAAAATTTAGAATGAGAAGAATTTAACAATATTTTTTAAAAATTAAATTCGTAATACATTAATAAATAAACTATAGTCAAAGTAGAATGTGTGAATAGTGCAAAAAGTCCTACGTTGCAATTAAGAGAGAACGGAGGTAGTATGAACTTATAATCAGATAATTGTAATTTAGAACCGTTATATGCTACCCTATAAATAGGACAATCATTTTACATGTCTATGCATACAAAATCGATCACAATATAATAGTCCAGTTCATTTCTCTATCTTAATTGCACATTTTCATCTACTTTTGTTCTATAAAACATTCAATTGAATTGGTTGTAATCCCCTTATATTGTTTACATCTGCAGCGTCTCAAGCAAGACACAAATATGATTGCAAAGAGAATAGAGCTCCTCCAAGATGCTCAACGGTATATATGGACCTAGTTTCTCGCTTAGCTGTCTATGTACTACACTACTAATATTCTTACACTTGATTGTCCTCACAACCCACAGTATAGTCCCCTCGCACACATACTACCCTTCTTCTCTTATTGAGTTGCAATGAACATATTAATACATTTAATTAGCTTTGTGTTTGTGAAAATAAAAAAAAACATGTTTCACACCGGAGCGGAGCAAAGGGGGTCAGGGTAGTCAGTCGACTCCCCTAAAAGTTCGAGAATATAGAGCACTAAAATACCTACTTTTTGATATATTATGTCTCTCGTAAGTCATTACGAGTAAAAGTTATGACAATGTGAAAATCAGCACCATCAAAATTTGAAATTACTAAATTTGATGTGAATATTAATTATATTCTCAAAGTTTAAAAATATAATCTAATTCACCCATTACTTACATGGAGTTTATAACATATATAATATGACATATATATCACGTTATAACTCTATTAGTCTCATCTATACTATCATTTACTTAAGTTATACTCCCTCCGTCCCGCAATTAAGTTCTCACTTTCCTTTTTGGGCAGTCCCTAAATTAAGTTCACACTTCAATACTTTCCTTATTTGGCAAATTATCTACATCAAAACAGTGTCGAACTGTGTTTAAAAAGTGTCAAACAGTGTACAAACAGTGTCAAACAGTGTTTAAACAGTGCACTCCACAGTAAAGTCATATTTATTTTTTTAATGTGTGAAGTCAAACCACGAACTTAATTGCGGGACGGAGGGAGTATTATGAAAATATCAACTCAGGTGTTGTTTAAAAACATTCCGTGCTTTTTATTCTGTGTTAGTCAGATTTCGACCCACCCTGAGTCGTTTTTTCTGGCTCTGCCACTGGTTTCATAATATTATTTTTTAACATGATAATATACGGAGTATGAAACAATATCAAATTAAAGTATGTGAATGGTGTAACAAATGTTTTTGGGAAAATGGTCAAATAGACCCACAAACTTACATAAAAAGGTCAAATAAGCCCTTATATAGGAGGCTCTGTCCGGTCGTCGCCATTTGGGACAATTACCGGTGGACTTTTTTGATGAAAGTTTTTGAGCATCTTATTTATTAAGTCTAGTTTACTCATATCGAATTTCAAATAACAATTCAATTGGGAAGGTATTCAAATGAATTCTTGAAGATAACTGCGCTTTTAAATGCGCAGTTATCTTCAAGAATTCATTTGAATGCCTTCCCGATTGAAGTCTTAGCTGAAATTTGGTATGAGTAAATTAGACTTAATGAATAAGATTCTAAAAGAAATTCATCAAAAAATTCTACCGGGAACAGCCCTAAATGGCGACGGTCGGACAAAGTCTTTTTGACTTTTTTATGTAAGTTTGAGGGTCTATCTGACTCTTTTCCCAATGTTTTTTGATAAGTATTTTCTTCACTTTCACCTTTTTCAATTCGATAAACCGTATGGATTCTTATTTTTAATGCACTTTTGAATTCTTATTATGTGTATGTACGAATATATGTGTTGTTGGTATTTATGTATACATAAAGTTAAATGTTTCATACTCATTAATGTTTAGGAAACTTTTGGGGCAAAGTTTGGGATCATGTTCTATGGAAGAACTCCATGAAATTGACAATCAGCTGGAGACGAGTCTTAATAATATCAGAAACAGAAAGGTACGTACCAAAAAGAAATTCTGAGTCATTTAAAAGAAACTTTAATTTATGCTATGCCTTAACTATGATACAAAAAATGGAAGAGACAAAAAATATGATCAGGTGAGAAAAGAAACTGATGTGCAATCGTTCCTATTGCATATACTGAAAACTGTATATATATAAAATGGAGGGTTTTGAAAATTCCTTCAAGAAAATAATCATTGTTCAAAATTTAAAATCAAAATGCTTCACAAAATATAAAGTTGAATCTACAAAGTTTTAAGGAGTATTTGACACAGCGGGGAGAATTTTTTAGTGAAAAGTTCGTATAGCAAAAGAGGTTTTGTTAGCATGACATAATAAACAAAAGACATAAGAAGCAACTAATTTAATTAAGTAATCTTTACTCCCTCTGTCATGATATAAAAAGGGCCTTGACACAACAATTACAGAAATTTTGAATTTTGTGATTGATTTGGAATTTGAAATTTAAGCAACATTAATGGCCACTTAATATGGACAAATATGATATGAGACAAACAATTATGGACGAAATAAAAGAAGCAATTGGGGAAATTTTAAAAATAGATGTAGTATTAAATTTAGTGGTACTCATCATGTTCTTCTTTTGGATGATTTATTTCCCTTTGAAGCAAGTTTATTTATTTATTGATTAATACGTAGTATCTAATATCTAATCCATTTTTATTCTAGGCAACTTTTATTGTATCTTCTTTGCCTTCCCTTTGATATTTTCATCTACCTTCTCCAATGTTTCTTACACTCATGGTTATTATTTACAATTTTTCTTGAACTCAATAAAACCTATAGATGCAATTACTTTCTCTTAAACTCTCTGATAAACGTATGGATGCAACAAGAAAAATAGACTGAGTATGTGTAATGGTAATATATAAATAAAATTTTACACATTCATTCTTTTTCATAAAGTCTTGAACTTATCAAAGTTTTACTCAACTCATTAGTTAAAAATCGAGCATATCAATTGATAAGAGTTTCATATCAGATTTCCTGATACACGGCACATTTAAAAAACACAATTAGTATTATATTTAGGACGGAGAGGGGTGAAGGCCCTGAAAACAAGGACCCTCCCTATATATACCAACTTGATTGTTTGTGCACCAATGTTGAAATCAATGGCTTCCTTATCTTTGATGTCTCTAACCTGAAATTCTAGGCCATAAGTGCTTACATAATAGAGACTTTGTTCAAGTGAACCCACCCCCACACAAACTTTAAATACTACCTCCGTTCTAAAAAAAATTGTCATTTCAAAAAATTTGAACCTTGATTTTGATTAGTATAATATTATGAAAATTATAACTTTATGCTTTTATGAAAGTACTCTAAACAAAGAACATTTTCATATAACTTTTATATTATAAATCATTTCCAATAAAAAGATATAGTTGGTCAAAGTTTTGAAAATGACAAATTTTTTTGGGATGGAGGTAGTATTACAAAGTAGATCAAATGAAATCATTTCATAACTATGTGCACAAATAGTTACTTGTATGTGACCCTTACAGTATCTTACAATGGTATTATACTCCTCTAAGGCTCTAATGCTACAAAAAATAGGCGACTATTTCTGGCTATACATGGCAACTTATATGATTATTTGTCCGTAAGGATGTTTTTACCTGAACTTAAATTTGTTGATCTGGTATGATCTAAACTGGTCTGGTCCGGTCTGTTTAGGTCTGGTCTGGTATGAGACTGAAAACAATGAAGCTTTTGTTGAAGTATTTGTCTCACACTGGATTGCTATAAAACAATAAAACACTATATTAAGATTTCAGAGTATTCCTCCTATCAGGTTAACTTTTCAGGACGGAACTCCAAGTCTTTGCATGATACTCCGTAATAGAGTTTAATCGGTTGTAGTTTGGTTGTTATTTAACACCCATAAGGCCATAATTAATGGTAGCTCTTTGAGTGTCGGTTTGGCCTATTTATTCACTCCATGTTGTCAAGCCAAGTTTTGGCTAAGGAGACATGTTGAAGTATTTGTCACACACCGGATTGTTATAAAACGATAGAACACTATTAAGATCCTAAGTTACTTCTTCTATGGATTAATCTTTTAGCATTGAATCAGAAGTCTTGGCAGTTTTCTTTAACAATTGCTCATTTGGTTACAACTATAATTTTTCATTCATTTTATCATCTAATACAATACTCATTTGAATATAAAACACACATTTTGTATATGCTACATGGTATCATGCACATTTGGATGTATCATACTATCATGCACATAGTATATTGTCTGGTTGTATAATATACAATATTGGCCTAACATTTACTTGGTCAATCTGTGCTAGCTAGGCTCAAGTATATAAGGAGAAGATTGAAAACCTGAAAGCCAAGGTACGTTATGATAGATACAAATTACCAAACACGAACAATTATTATGCACTGATGCATTAATTCAACCATGTCTCACATCATTATATTTATCTTTGAAATAATAGATCAACTTATAAATTAGTGGGTCATCTCCGATAAAGTTAAACTCAATTATGTTGATTTAGAATGACATCAAGTTGTAGATTTGGTGATACTTAAATTTAGGATTGTATATTTGTTCCTTTCTATATCAGTGGAGGAATCATTCAAAAATTGGACACGGTAGTTGCATCTTTTTTAATTGAGCTTTCTAATGTTATAAGAATGCCTCAAATGGATAATCTAAATTCAACTATGTTGCTTCAAGAGTGACACCTAATTGTAAATTTGATCATATGGAACTCTTAAATTCAATTAGCTAACGTAAATTATTTCTAATTGGATGGTTCTTATCACTTTGTGTAGGAGAAACATCTGCTACAAGAAAATGCAACACTACGGAAGAAGGTATTTTTTTATTAATAAACTTCATTGTCTAATAAACTTATTCACTCATCCCATGTATTTTATTTTTTCTATAAAAGTTAATTAATAAATACCCCTCAAGTGTTGGTTATTCTCAATCTTTCCCCTCCCGTTAACATTAATATCATATAACTTCATATAATGAAAATTATATAAAATAAATGTTTTTGAAATTCAGACTATTTCATCATCATGATTATAAGTCATAATCGTTGGTCGTTATTTCTTATTTGTTAATAGCGGAATCAAATTATTGAGAGTAAGAGTTGTATTGACAAAGTAGAAATGCTTAGAGTTTTTAAAGCCAAGTGAATTCCCTAAAAAAGAGTTTTTAAAGTGAACATAATTTAGACAACTTTCAATAATGTATCTCATAAATATTACTCATATTTTCTCTGTCTAAACCGTTTTGAATAACATTTCCTTTAAGGGGAGCAAAGTAGAATGAATAATGATGACCATCTATGATTAATAATTATCACGATGAACTGTTTAGACTTTTAAAATTATATGAAATATGTTGTAAAACAACATCCATTGAATTTGAGAGTTTTGAATTAGTTATATGAATATTGGCTTGATGGGTAATTAGTTAATTTTTGAAATGCAAGGTTTAGTTATGACCATACCTTAAGGGGTGATAGTAATTTCCCCTTTAGTTTTCTTAAATTAGACGTTAGCTTCCAAAATGTTAAAGATTATATGTTTGAAATGGATGTATATTTATAATACATAGTGTGCTATATGGAAAAATCATCAACCACAAACGACACAGCAAAAGGAGATTGTGGAAAGGGAGCAAAGTTGTGGGGTGGAGACCGATTTGTTCATTGGCCTTCCAGTAGCTACTCGCTGGTCATAGCTCCTGCTTTATTTGTAGTTTAATTATATAAGTCAAATAGTCAATCCAGCCTCTCAATTTCCTAGTAATTTAGTCAAGTATAGCATATTATATATCCTTGTGAATAAGATGTAAAACAAAATGTTCGAGCACATTTATCCACTGTGGACTAATGAAGCTGCTTATATAAAGGTGTACATAATGTGTTAAAGTAATAAGCAGTTTTATTGCTCACAATTACTTGAATTTTAATTAACAACTTACCCGATATTTAGAGTCCTATAAAAAAACAGGGCAGCTTCGCTAATTAAATAGGGGTTCTGGACTCCCCCCCCCAAATAAAAGTAACAATGTTATCGTGAAAAATATTGTCATACGGTCATATGAATGTATGATAGTGTCATAAATATGAAACTGCTTTACTCTATTTGGAAAATATTGCACCCACTCATAAAAAAATCACTTTATTTTTAATGTCTATTTTGAGAAATTTCCCATGTATTTTAATTTCAATCCGCTTATATTTCATCTGTATTCCAATAAATGGTTATACGTTCACCGTACCTTTCGACATATTTTTTTAAATACTTTTAATACTTTTTTTTTCTATATTCAATTCAATATAAATACAATTGTAGTAGAGATTCGTTACTAGAGTGCCTTTCATTCAAACTTTAGAAGATGTTAATAGCATGTGCATGGATTGGATGATTTATAGATGAAAAAAATGATACTCCTTAGTCCTTACTACATAATTGATTCGAGGTATCACATATGACTTGTTTTGGAATTTTTGAAAGGCCAATGGCTACACCATTTATGATCTTTATTTAACTTTGATTTTCTGGGTCCAGCCACCCCTATTTAGGGATGGACCCGGGCCGGGCTGGTTCAGGCCTGGGCCCGGCTGGGCTTTTATTTGGGAATGGTGGAATCGGAATCGGCCCGGGTAGCCGGCGGTTACGGGCCGGGCCGGTTCCGGTTCAATGTTATTTTTTTTTATTTTCTTTTGATTTTCTAAATAACCCCCGACCCTCCCACCCCCTAACCCCCCCCCCCCCCAAAAAAAAAAAAAAACCAGCCCAACCCGGTATAAACAAAAAAAATTGAAAAAAAAATAGGCCCGAACCGGGCCCGGACCTGCCGGTCCGGTTCGCATTTTAGGGGCCCCCCGAGCCTGCACTGGGATTAGAGCGGTTCCGGTTGGCCCGAACCGGGCCAAAACAGTACCGGGCCGGGCGGCCCGACCCGAGTCCACCGCTACCCCTATTAGACTATCGGTCCAGTTAACTGTAATTGTCGCTAACCACCCTTAGTTGCTTTAACGTGCTTACGATCTATTTCCTGCGTACAAGACGGTATATAGGAAGAGTCAAGGGCGAGTTCGACCAAAGAATCTAAAACGTTTTATTTAAAGAAAACAACTAAATAGAAATTAATTAAAGCAAATGAACACTTAAACGAGAAGGGAAGCGGGGTATACAATGAAAAACCATGTGATTGAGGATAATGGATCAAAATGAGGATCTTGAGAAATTAATCATGCAAGAAAAGTGATTGATACAAGTTCTCTTACCAATCTCATGGTCAAAGGACACTAAGGGAGTGTTTGCAACTGCTTCTGCTTAAAAAAAGCACTTTTGGAGATGTAAGGAAAAAGTGATTAGTAGTAAAAGTTGATAGTGTTTGAGAAAAAAGTGATTTTGAAAAGTAAAAGTTGGTAGTGTTTAGTAAAATAAGTGTTTTTGTATAATAGAAAAGGGAAAAGCACTTTTCACACGCAAGCCGAGAAAAAGTAAAAATTGGTAGTATTTGGTAAATAAGTGCTTTTTTAAGCCAAAAGCTGAGAAATGTTTTTTTAAGCGGTTGCAAACACTACCTAAAAGCTCCTACTGACCACTCTCTGGGTGAAACAACAACCTAAAGTCATTTAATGAAGGGCAACCAATCAAATAATCCCCTACCTCCTCTCATTCTCAAGGAGAGAACTCAGAGAAGGTACTGTGTTTGGGCTGATTCTGTTGAAATTTATGAAGTTCTTGCTGAAGTAGCTGCATCGGCTGATTCCGCTGATTTAAGAAAAAAAAATTTTTAAAATATATTATATTAATAAAATTAAGAAAAAAATACTTCGTATATGTAAAAATAGCTAAAATAGTCATCTACAGTAACTTCAGTCAATACATCCAGAAAAGTAACTCTAACCTTACTTTTTCTGCTTATTACGCAATTCAGCGCGCGAAAGCAAAAGTTACGTGTTTGGTGAAAAAGTTGGCTGATAAGTCTGATAAGCCAAAAAACCCTAAAGCCGAAAAACCGTGTTGCCAAACGGCCTCTTAATGCGGATGACCCTACAAATCCCTTTGAGAATCCAAAGAAACAAATAATTAAGAGCAATGTGATCATTTTTAGAAATTTAAAGTAAAGTTTTTACATACACATATATATTGTGCAAAATATATATCTTGAGTTCCACCAAATTAAATCACAAAACTCTTTAAATCACATCATTGAGTGATTTTTAACCACCTCCAATCCCTTATCCTAATGCACAATCCCCCACCCACTAACGCTTGAATATAGATACATACAAGATGTGCAACATAGACATGAAATGAAGTAGGTGCATAAGATAGCATAAATTGATATTATATAATCTAATGTATGAAATGTAAGAAGAACAATGATTATATGCAAATAAAACTTAAAAAATGCAATGTAAAATTGCTAAGAAACCTTACAACAAAAAATTAGTTCTTTCAAGAGCAATTTCTGCCCAAAAGTTTTGAAATTGGGATAGAATATGTTATTTAATTTATGCAAGAGGATATGTGGAGGAATACCGGGAGGGAAAATGCTTTTGGTACACAAAATATGTAAACAAAATGTGTACACATGTCTGTCCTTCGGGGAAAATTTGTCTGTCGTCACAGCCAATTCATTATGAGTTGTCTGTGACAGACAAATTTTCTCCGAAAGAAAGACATGTGTACACATTTTGTGTACCCCAAGCAAACTCCTACCGGGAGGGATCAACTTCTTTAGGGGGAGGAATGCCACAAAGAAGATTAGGAGAACCGCGTCGCTCATGCGTTAGCACGGGATGGTAGTTCTATGTCGGATAGCTGTGTTTGTTGTTTTCTCCACCTAGCAGTATAGTTGATGTACTAAACTTTGATTTAATTAATTCCAATTAAATATTTTCTGTTAAAAAAACTAGTTTTCATTATTTGTTGTTATGAAAATTACACACTTTTGATGTTTCTGAGCTTAAAAGAGATCAAGGTCATCCAAAAGATCCAGATTAGACCTTTAAAGGTCAAGGAAAGTGCAAGGAGGCAAGATGATTTGGAAAGATTGTTGCTATACCTAGTCAGGTATATACAATACCCGATCGGGTATTGACTTGGTTCGGGCGTCTAAATCAAATTTGAGGAACAAATGATCATTCTGATATATATTATGAAGATTTGTCTTATACCAGATCGGGCAAACCGACACATCCGATCGAATATGACTTTAAAAGAGACCTTCCGGGCTACTGCCTAGGATACCCGATCGGGTACCCTATGTACCCAGTCGGATATGCAACCGTGCACGCCACCCCCAAACACCTATACATATATACAAGAACACATGTGTTTTATATTAACTAAATAGTAAGTGTTATTAATAAATGTGTCTCGCTATTAATATCTACTCTCGATGTATTAGAAGTAATCCGCGACTGAGTATTTAAGATGCGATAGTTAAAGATATAACCGGGATTGACGAACATTTCACTAGTGAACATTTCACCAAGTATCCGTCTCTATTATTAATTATAAATCACATAAGTAGTTTATGTTAAAGTATATGTCCCACACAAGAAAGATATAAAACAATAAATCATTAGAGCCAGATCCGGTTGTGGTTTGACTGATTGTTTAGCACCCATGATTAAGCGTAGTTTGTTAAGGGCCTGTTTGGTCCATTTATTTATACACCTCGATATTGTCCAGCCGATTCAGATCGAGGGGGCGTGTTAAAGTATATGTCTCACACAGGAAAGATGTAAAACAATAAATCATTATATAAGGCTTTGAACTACTCCTCCTATTAAGTCAAACAATATTAAAAAAAACCTTTGTTCCAACTTCATAATGAAGAAATACTCATTTTCATGTGGATACGGACCTTAATACGCTATACTACTGTATTAACACTACTATTGATTTTATTTTGAGACACACAACGACTTTAGTGCCATCAATACACGTTCTTTTTTAGCGTTTCTACCTTAACACAATTTTTTCGTCTTTGGCAAAAAGTCCGATGGTGGGAGGAACGTAGTCTGGATTCTGGAACATTATTTATGTAGGAAATTTGTTCCTTGACAGCGTTCCTCCACTTGGGAGTGAGAAACGAAAATGTCCACGAACGAAAAGAAAAGGGTACTTCTATTCAAAGCCCTCAAATTGCTATTCACAGCCACAAACAAATTTAAATATCCAAAATGCCCTTGAACCGAAACAATTCCCTGCCGTCAATCTTCTTTTCTTCTGTTGTTTTCTTGGCCGAGGTGTCGGTTGTCGAGGGCCTCCAGCCGTTTGTCCAAAGGCGGAGCAGAGAGTCGGTCTTGAGTCCGCTGGCGCAACCGTGCGGAGAACATTCTACCTTTGGCTGAAGTACCTCTGCCCGGAATGAATCTTCTGCCCGGAAGGTGCCAGTAGAAGTGCCGGCAAATCTCAGGAAAAATTACCTCCCGATGCTCAGTCCTCACGAAACCACCAGCAGGAGTGAGCATGTTGCGATAGTCTGAGAATCCATTGCAGCTTCCATTTGATCACGAATTCGAATCCCTTGGCGGTGATTAACTTCATTTTCTGGAACAAGGATGAAAACTCTTGGCTTCCTGGGAGTTCTTTGCACGTGGAGTATAGACATGGGGGGGGGGGGGGGGGGGGGCGAATATTTCAACTACAAGCCATTTTTGTTACTATTTAGAACCACATATGGATTGAATATACTTCACTAGCTAGCTCTATACATCTCATATCTAATTATATATAGGAACTATATGTCCTGAATTGAATGGATTGAATTGAAAATTTCCGCTTTGATTTAAAGCGATGGTGGCTAGCTTTTGACCTGCTTACGTAGTTACATATCATCAATTCAAACGCAAATAGATATTACTGTGTTTTTTGGATCCAGGG